AACATGTTCAAACGAAAAGAGTGTTGCAGAGTGGTCGGACAAGAATTGACACAAGCTATTGGGTGCAGTAAGGAACTTTAAAGTGGAAAAAAAAAACCCAGCTAAGGTGGTGAAAGAATCTGCCTTAAAAAGATTTACATTTTCTGAAATGTGGGATTTCAGGAAATTCATGTAGATAGAGGATCTTCACGCGGTAAATGTAGATAGTTCATATACCAGTAGGAGAGACAAAAGGAGAAAAGGAGATAGATGACTTGATAAAGTCCTACCTTGTTTAGGTTTTGCTCAACATCATAGATGTTTTTCTCCACTTTATCGGCATTCTTCTGTAGCTTCTCAATTAGGATACTCAGATCGGTGGAGGGAGCTCTGCAGCACAAAAATAAAAATGTGTAATACAAACAAAAATGTAAAAACTGTGTATAAGAAACACAAGATAGATATTTTCTATGTATCAGGCAGTGTATAGAAATCCATCAGTGAACTGAAATATTGTGATTATAATATAATCTGGACCAATAAATACTACTAGAAACTTGCTTCCTGGATACAGTCACCACCACCACACACAACCAAAAGACAACAATAATTGATTATCACTCCTTGGCTGAACGGTATATCATAGCTCATGATAATTGTTTTCCTCATGTTATAATTACTCACAGACACCATCATTTGTTAACTGGAAACACTAAGAACAAAAGATTAAATCAACAAACAAAACATGCTAATTCTGATGTTTATGGACTTAAAACAACCTGAAACAGACAGGTTTGCTTACTGTTTGTAGGTGATATGCCATGTTTGCAGTCAGGACGGTTTGTGACATGCAAACTGTTGCTTGCAAACTTTGCATTTGTCCTTTTTCTGTCATCTATTTTTTGTAAAATGCACTTTCAATGTCTTTGACATGGTAGTGGAGGACTGACGGTAAATACATATTCAGCTAATCCCCAGACCTATGCCATCTAGTACCACCACCCACCAGGTCCCACTGCGGTGAATCCCCACAAACTGCTCCCCACGCAATCACAGAGGAGAAATTCCATCGTGTACGGTGGTTTTAGAGTTTTTAGAGATATTGGTTTGTGATACTTCTTAAGTCAACGAAAACGTTTAACACAATACAAGTCAAAATCATGTTAAAAAATTTTGAAAATAAAAACAAAACTCAAATAGTTTGTAATTCAGTCATTGCAAACTGAATTAAATATTCCTCTGTTAATAATTAAAACAAGTTTCAGTAAGTGTTTTTGAAGCATGTGAGCCCGTAAGGCCAGTCTTGAAACTTTCAATGTGTTTTTGTCTCCTCTTGATTTGTTTACCAAGGTGTTTACCACATTTCGTCACAGTTTCTGTTATTATACCTGACCTTTTATTTAGTCTTATTTTAGTTTTCGTTCGAAAAAAAGGTTTGTTGATGAATAGTTTTCCTCATAGTCCTTATCAACAAAATTAACACTGGCTTCAATTGAGGGAAATCAAAATTGGCAAAGAATGTTATCACACACCAATGATTGCATTCATGGGTTGATTATTTAAGAAAGTTAACAGCTGTCACCAGTTTGGATGTATCTTACATGAGCACCTGAAAAAAATAATGCCAAAACAACTAAATACCCAAACACCCAAACAACACAACTGAAACAGGAAGTTGTGATAAAAACATCCACCAATACACACAAATATCTGCCGTAGGAGCATATTTATTTGTCCGTACTCGGATATATATATATATATATATATATAACCTGAGGCCTCATGACTTGCATGGATTTCATTGTTAAACACAGCATATCCAAAAACCAAAAACTGGCAGCACAAAAAAAAAAAAAAAATCAGATGTATTGTCTACATACTTATGCATGTATATACGTATATACTTATGCATTTGGTGACCTGCCCACAGGTCACCAAATAATACATTTGAAAAGAAAAAAGAGTCAGTGCACATAAAAGGTGAAGTTAACCAGGAAACATTGTTGGTGTTTTCAGCCATTAAGAGAAATCTTTTATTTTAGAGAAATGTTTAAAGTTGTCAGGTCGCATAGTGTTTTGTGGTCTAGGTGATGTGTATTGTGTTGACCTGAAAAGGGGCTACTGGCATTCCATTGAAGCAAGGTTTGTGTGCAATTGTTATCATTATCTTGTTTAGTAATTTGTGTGAGTATGTTTCAATGTTATGGACGACATTTTGCACACCGATCCCTACCGACACTCTTTTGTAGCTCCATAGTGTAGCAGTTATCACGCCTGCTTACACTTTTTAAACTTATACGCAGAAGGTCCCGGGTTTGAGCCCCAGAAAACCTTCTTGGAGCAGAAGGTCCCGGGTTTGAGCCCCAGAGAACCCACATACAGTGGGGCTTGGCGATACCCGAAATACAAGTTTTCCAAGTTCCAAGTAACTTTTGCAAGAGTGTTCCTTGTGATAAGAGGAAACATCGAGTTACCGAGCTCCATTTTCCTTTCTTCCCCCCACACCCCCCCGCCGTCCCCCCCCCCCCTTTCCCCCCCCCCCGGGGGGGGGGGGGGGGGGGGGGATGATCCACTCGTATGATGAGTGGATCATCATACGAGTGCCTCCAAGGGGCAGCCAGTTGCAGCCAATCCGCTATGAACACAACAATTTCCCCGGTCTGTGATCAATAGAAGTTCAATTTTAATGAATTTTAATGAATAATGTTCAATAAAATGAACAGGATGTATAGTCAAGTAAATAACACTTTATCTAATATTTAAGGGACTGTGATTTCATGTGCTTTAGTTTACTCTGAGTAAATCAATTATTACCTTACATGTTAGTTATTTTTATACTACAATTGAAATGTAGCCAGTTGGCTGTATTCCAGGTATAAAATATTTATTTCAGTAAACATACAGCATAAAACACATATAGTGGTTGACATCTACTGAAACGTTTTATTAAAAGAGCATATTATATATGAAGAGACTCCAAGGATAAGGTAGTGAATGTCTTAAATACCCATCCATGCAATTGTACTCCATCTTATTAATGTTATATAATGTGTCAGTTAAAATTTCGTATCTGGTGAAGGTATTAGGCGTGAGTTAATTAAAATATAGTGAGGTGAACATGTATTACTGGTAAGCAGTAGAATTTTATGATACTGCTTGCATTACTTAAGCATATGACTTGTATGCTGTAACACACCACAACCAGACAGTCCGGATTTACACCTGTTCTTCTCTGGTGTTGTATTCTAAGAGTCATTTATTAAGGGCCATTTATTAAGGGCCATCTGAAAGAATAACCCAAGGTGCATTCAAGTCACACCTTCCATTCTTCTTTATATGATGACAAATTTCCAAACAGGGAAACACCTCAGGAACTCCAAGCATCTAGAATCCTACCTGGCCTGTCCAGATGATACCATAGAAGTACCTGAAGTATTTGCCAGCAGTGTGTTACTGTCTGTGATTGGTTTTCATGGAGCACATTCAGCACAATCAGGAAAAAAACTTTAAACTACGAGTTCAATCACAACTCTTTTACGGGACATATTATATGATACAGATATAAATAATGTGTATGCTCTGGTGAATTCAGCAAACGGCGTCTAAAAGTATGAAAGATACAAAATAACAACCTGACTTCATGACATTTGCGTGGGGTGACACATTTAAGTCGTTAAATTACCAGATGCGTGTATGACATTTAGATACAAAGCGCAATTCAAAATTATGATTAATAATAACGCCATGACTTAATTTTAAATGCACTACTTACGGTGCCTTTGCCTGCGTAATGGCGGTGGACTTGCTCTTCTTCTTGAACATTGCGACGGTAACCTTCCAGATGTTTCCAAGAAAGACGGCGAACTTTTACTGTGTGTGACTTCTGTCGCAGATACTGTGTCCTCTGTGAAAGCCCGTCCCTCTAACCTCGTCACAGTCCACGGCTGTCGCTGGGGAACTGTGCTAATCATCTACAGTCTTCACTTTTAGTTTCTTGTGTACCTGCAAATCAGCTATGAGCGGGCGTGGCTGTGTGTCTGTATTTGCGCGCAGGTTTGTGTGTTGTTAGGGTGTGGTGGAGACCAGGGATACGCTTGCAGAACGGGTCAGACTTGATTATGGTAAAGTGGTTGTGTGTGTTCGTGAGCTTTGGTGTGTGAGAGAGAAAGACACAAAGTGCAGGAGACATAATGAAAAGGTTAAAGTTAAGGTTTAGTTAACTTAAGAGTTAAAAAATAATAGTGACATCGAAAGCAACTGTACAAAGTAGGATTTTTTTTTTCTTATCCAAAGAGGCTTTTTCAGTTCTGGGCAGAACTGAAGTTCTGTAGCTTTTTGCCCAATTATGTGAAAAACAAGTAACACAGAGTAGTTTATCCAAATATAAAATAATAGAAAGAATTTATTAACAACTTAAGTAAACTTAAAATAGGATTAATTTTAAGATTATGGACACACAATTTTTTGGGGAGGTGGTTAAAGAAGCAAACTTTGTTCCGGAAGGTTTCAGGTTTGAGGGCACCAGCTGCACAGTTACCACTGAGGTCCTCTGATCATGGCACCGTTAAGCTGCCCCCTGCTCATTTTGGGGATGGGTTTAATGCAGAGGTGACATTTTGTTGTGTGCAGTGGTGTGTTGTGTCACAATGACACGTAGTTCACTTTCCTTTTCCTGCTTCCCTTTTCTCTGGAAACTCCAACATTCTAACTTAAACATACATTTTTTGGCCCTACACGTGGCCTTGTGATGGACCGTCAAACTGTCCACACTGCCCCACCGAAAGCCTCTCCATTCAACCCTAGAGAGTAGACCAGGGGTCTCAGACTCGCGGCCCACAGTACAATATTTTGTGGCAATATTTCGCACCTTAATATGAAAGTATAATATTAGTGTGGCCCGTGGAGAAAGTGGACCTTCGAAGAGCCAATCAGCAAGCTCCCGCGCGCCGTCCCTTGTCGGGGCTAAGCTAAGCTACACCAGCTTCGTGCACTTCACGCTTGCAACAACAGCACAGCGTGTAATGAACAGCCAGACAGCAGTCGCCTTTGCGCTTGCCATCTATCGTACTTTCTACCACAAATGTCATATCATCAAGCGCAAAAATAACAGCGACTGTTACCGGGCTGTTTATCGTGTACGCTGCTGTTACAGATAGAAGCGTGTGACCGTGTCCCCGACCGGCTAAACACTTGTTTGAAACGTGAAACAAGAGCGCTACTAAGCGGAATCAATGAGATTTTGTCATACCCCAGTCATGTCTTCATCAAAGCCTGCAGTGAAGAGAAAGGTTGGTGACGAGCACAGACAGTTTCAAGAAAAGTGGGAGACGCAGAGATGATGATTTTGAAGCTACAGAAGGAATTAGATCACAGATTTGAAGACTTCAAGACGCACAGAGCCACTTTTCAAATTTTTGCGGACCTCTTTACCTTTGATGTGCTTCAAATGGAGCTCATTGACCTGCAATGCAACTCTGACCTCAAAGCCAAGTTCAGGGAGATGAGTGGAAAAGCAGACAAGCATGGGCGATTTTTGAGAGAATTGCCCCCCAACTTCCCTGAGCTGAACTTCAATAAGTCCGAGTACAGGTCCAGACTTACTGATGATCATCTTCAAGCCATACTGAGGGTCTCAACAGCCAAATGTGGTTCAGATTTGTGAAATGAAGTGCTGTTAAGTCTCTGGCAGCAAGGAGTAGGCAAGAGGAGCCATGTTCAGAAGAACCGTTCATGATTTTCACTCAATGTTCCATTCATGTTCAAAACACTTCATGTTCAGAAGAAATCATTATAACTGTTAACTGTTAACATTTGAGGACTTTTTTTTTTAACTTTATTGTGGAATCCCTTATGCGGCCCACCCTCACCCAGACTCCGCCTCCAGCGGCCCCCCTGGTAAATTGAGTTTGAGACCCCTGGAGTAGACAAATGCCTGTATCATCTCAGCTGTCTTCTCTTACTTAACCCTAACTTTAAGATGCATTTGGATGTCTAGCTGGGCCTGGACACCGTGCAGAGATAACTTATCTTGGCAAACCAACAACAATCCATCTTTCCAGCTCCTGTTTAATTTGCCCTCACCCAAACCCTGATACAAACCCAAAAATGATCTCCTCCACTGGGTTCGGAATCTTGGTTGCGACCAGACACCAACATTCCACCCTCCTCATGGAATTTTAAAGAAAATCTGGCAAAAGATCTCATTTTAAAACAATAGGTCATTCAGACTCTGATACAAACAGAATAGAGTCTAGAAGATGTTTTGTTTTGAACATTTAATGATCCTTTTAATGCTTAGTACCTTGCTGACCAGTAGGAACAAAAACGATTAGGGACCACTGGTATAGATGTAACTACTCCATAACAGACTAATACATGTTGATTATTATTCGATTGATTATAAAAACTTTGAATTATTTAGGTTCAGAAACTCTGCTGCATGGACTTTACTAAATAACTTTTGAAGCTCCCACGGGCCACAAAAAAAACAACATGGCGGACTGCATTTGCCTCTGGGCATTGAGTTTGACACATATGACATAGAGCAAGCTGTAGGTTGACCACAAACACGTGCCTAGAAATTCCATCCATAAAGATCACGAACAGAACTGGTGAAAGGGGTGCCTTGACCAAGTCTGAAGCACTGAGATGTGTCTTATCTGTTGTTGGTAAGCTGAAAACTCACCATGCATCTGTCTTGACCAAGATTAGGATTAGTAGCAGCAAGCAAGCAATTCTCTACATACTAAAGACCACCTGCACCCCTCCATTATCATTTTCTAAGCTGGCAAAACGTTCTCCGAAGAGCTCCATGGCCTCCAACTTTTGCCACACCCATTGCAAGTGCCCTTGGCTTCGTTTCTCTTGGCCTGCTGGTACCTGTCAGCTTCAGAAGACAAGATTCACACTGCCACAAAGACGTTGTGATTTACCATTTGTGTGTGTTTTTTATTATTATCTTAATACTATTTGTTATCCTGGGAAGCATGTAAATTGATACTGTGGCATTGATACAGTTACCACTAAATGTGAGACCTAAATGTCAGGGGGGAAAAAAATCAGCAACTGTGTCATAAAAGATATAAATTCAGGAGTTGCATATTCTTTTCTTGGAGCCAAGTGGTTGCAACTGTTGTGGAAACTGATCAATATTGCCAGGCTTGAATATAAACTAAGCTAAAATAAAAACAAAAAACATATATATTTATACATACACATATATATGTGTATATATATATATATATATATATATATATATATATATATATATATATTAGTCATTTGTTTTAGTGATTTCAATAATGCACAGCTGCTGAGACAGTATGAGGTTGTATCTCTCGTAGTAATCTGTACTGTAGGTTAGCTTAGTCGGGTGGAGTCCAACAATCAAGGTACTAAACTATTGCTGGAATGTCTAGCAGCTTTTTAAAACTGGTAGAACAACATTCTGGAGCACTGAACAACATTCTGGAGCACAGATATGATTCAGGCCTTTTAAGGAAATCATACACTCTAATGCACTTAAAGACCAACAGAAAAAATGTCATCTGATGATGATGATAGATGATCTGAAGATGTTTTATGGCAAAAAACAAAACAAAAAAAAGAAAAACCTGCTGTTCCAAGCTGATCAAACAGGCAACGGAGAAAACGAGAGTGAGTGAATTAAAAAAACCCTAATATTATTATCCGATATTAATTTTCAACCAATCTGGGAATCTCTGGTTTAGACCATAGATGGTGTTAGACTAGGTGACTTTTTCTCTACCTATCCTATCTGCATGATTTGACTGATCCTTGATTCATATGAATCTTGATTTGAGTCTCACAACTCCATCACCACCATAAACAACTTACATAGTTGTTTATGGCGGTGTGACACAATGTATGCAGTATGAACCAAAGATAAACATTGTGTCATTCTCTCCGGTCTCTAATCTACATTCCATAGGGAGGTGTGTCCTTGGTAACCCTTAGGTGTATCTACCTGATAGTTTTATTGTAGTTGCAAGGTTAGTGTTCACTGCTGATATGAAGCAGTTAACCCTCTGTATAAGGCTTAAGACTTCATTCTTGCCCCGGAGTGGACTTATAAAATAGTAGCTGTATGTTGTTTTTATTTTTTCAGAAAAAGCTTTATAAAGCAACCGACCAACTTTGTTTAGATCCTAAAAGGCTTAGATGCAATTAAATGAAAAATACATTAGTAATACGTCCCAAACTCTTCCCTTTTGCTGCTGGCCCACATCAGCAGCTCGCTCTATGTTTTGCTATTTCACAGGCGCCTGTGTCTTTGTTTAATAAACATATTGTCATCATCAACCTTGTTGAGTTGCTGTTTCTGTAACAGGTAAAAACATTACAACGTAACACTTACCTTTTGAATCTTAAGGGCTAGACTGTCTAGATAGGATTGAGAGATTTATTCCAAATGATCCAAGTAGTTACTTGATTTTATTTCTTTGTTTGTTTTGGTCATTGCTTATCTGAATATGAATTTATGAATAAACATTTTTTTGTTCCATCAATTATTTGATCTTGCATGAACACAGGGTCACAGGAAGTTCAAACATTTAGTTAGTACTTACAATCCACGATAACATAAAATAAAATATTTAGTTAGTACTTACAATCCACGATAAAATAAAATAATGTCGCACATTTGTATTTGCCATCTTATGTAGAGTAATAACTTAAATTAAATTGTTTCATTTGAAAAAAGATTGATAATTTTTTATTTTTTTTTAATAATTCCCAGAGCAAAAAAAAAAAACATCCTCCCTTATGGTGCCTCCCATGTAGCAGCCTGTGAGATGCAACCACGTACCTAATGGCGTCTTCTGTGGCCTCAGGCACTTGCAAAGATTCACACTGTAAATTTCCCAATCGTGGGATGAATAGAGGCCTCCAGTTCCCAACAGCACCAGTTGTACCATTGGCCAGTCATACATGTTTCATAAACTTCTATTTAGACAAGTTGATTTGTCCATTTGAATTACGATAAACGTGACAATTATATGGCTCAGAAACTCAAGTCAG